GGCGATATCACACACTACAACAGAGCAAAGCTGCGATTTACAGTGGCTGCCAGAAATGTCAGGCACAAAGAGGGAGGAGAGGAATGAAAGACAAAATACCGCTCATAAATTTAAAAAGAAGATTAAAGTCTATGCTGCATATTGGAGCAACAATGGTTGGGACATTTCAAGATCACAAATAGTGTGTAATCACAGAGCATTTAAGGGGGAAAAATACATTTGCAAATCAGTTAGATTGAGTATAATATGTTGAATATCTCCAGATTTGGTCACGTTTCTTGCTGTATATGTTGCCTGCTGGCTGGAAATAGGAGGCATTTGAAATATATTAGATTTTTACTTCCTACATTAATGGAAATATTTTAGACTAAGTAAATTTACACTTTATTTGTATGTGTGTAAGCATTCTTCTTCTGTTGTCTAACCCTGACCTCAGTCGTAACTGCCTCTGTACTAAAGGCTTGTCTTATTAGACATTTTTCTGATTTTCTACCTCATATCTATGAAAAATGGAGATGTTTGATGGTACGTGAGATAAGTACAATTAGCCAGAGAAATGTCTGTATGTAAGGAAAACAGGCTGAAGACCAGTAGTTATGAAGGCTGATCTTCAGCTAGATCCATATTGAATACAGATGCTGTGGTGAACTCACAACGAACTCTGAAGATCTTCGTAACTGATCACAATTAAGTCCACAAAATCTAAACTCTAACGCACAAAGAAAACAGATGTGCTGCCAGTATTACCCAGATAACTGTGTGTAAAATATCTCTGATGGGGAATTCCATCATTTATATCTATATTTAAGCATAAAGAATGAGCCTAATCTGTATCTCCTGTTATTTCTTTGTGATAATTCTGTTGATGCTGGGACCTGAAGCTTGAGGACATGAAGAAAAATGATCATTTTAGGGTGTCTGTTTGAGCTGAAAGAGTCTGCCTCCCTGAGAGAGCAAAGAGGAGTTAGAGGTGAGGAATGAATCATGTGATTTAGGTGCTTTCCGAGATCATGAAACGGACCACCGCTGGGTTTATTGAATTAAAACTGGAATGTGTTTAGAATGCAGAACAGGTGCAAGAAGTGGATATGAAGATTAGGGAAGGTGTATAACTCTTTGAGTGAAGGGGTACCAGAAGAAACAAATGGAAGACTTACCGTCTGCCATTTTGAGTAAAATCAATTTCCATTCAAAATTCCTGCAGATATTTTCCTCGTGTGTTTGTGTGCAGAAAAAAGACTGGCCTTCTCTCTCATGGAAGAAGAGCCAGAGGAGCATTAGACACAGTTAAGAGGAGGTAAAGGTAAACCTGGTCCTGTTGATAGTTATAGCTGCCTTGCGAGACCTTTAATACCTGCTAATGAATCACGTGACAGCTTTTTAAGCTGTTTCATTCAGTTTGCATGTCTCTAATTACGCCAAAAGCTGGATTCTCAAAAGGAAAAAGGAAATAAATATAGTTGTGTGTTTTCCAGGACAGCATCCTTTATTAGCTTCTGCTTTAGGAAATAAACTATAATTGTATGTTTCCTGAGAAAGGAGAACATTTCCAGGACAACATCCTTTTTTAGCTTCTGTTTTATCTCATGGAAGGTTTTTGATTTCCTACTCCTGCCTGTGATTTCTTCATGAATACAAAAAACAGTTAGGACTGCTTCGAACAGCATGTAACAGCAAACACACTGATTAACATGAATCAGTTCTGGAGTTGTCACTAAAATCAAACCAGATACAAGGACAACTTCCAGTGTCATTCAAGTGGATTGTTTTTCTGCCTGAAACTGAATTGAAGCACTCATTTAGTGCCTAAAGGATACTCATTTTAAGCAAATTAATGACACGGTGCTGTCAAAATGCAGTAAATCTGGTATAGGCTATTGATTATTTTTGCTCTAGCTTCCTGGACCTATTAAAAAAGGGGGGGAAAACACTATAACAAAACACTCCAGACCCTTGTTTTTTGTGTTTCTCAGAAAAGAATTATGGACCCATTTGAGTGTCTCTGTTTTCTTATGTAAGATATAAGGACACAGTGCATTAGATTTAAAAACAAGGTAGTGTCAGGACAACAAAATGTGGAAGCTCCACAGCCTGTTGGAAACTTCTGTGATGGCAACATTTGGAAAATTGTTCCCAATAAGCAAGAAAACTGCAATATTAACATGTACGTTTACAATATTACCCCTACATTGTGTATTTATGTCATACTCTGTACATCATGTCAAAGAGTACATTTGATCCTCAACAACAACATTAAATCTAAGTAAACATGGCCCCCAACAGAAGCCTGAATGGGCCATGTCAAAGCCAAAACTGTATTAAACCAATGTGGTGTCTTCAGGCAAAAATAAGCTGTACAGCCTCTATTGTTTAGGTTCCCATGCTGCTTTCTGGTAATTTGATTTGACTTAAATTCATTTAACAATATTCTGGACATAAGCTCTATGGCGACATACAGCACTGCGGAAAAGTCTTCAGCTAATTTCTTTATATTTCCCTGCCAAGAAGCCAGACTTTCCTGTAATCGCTTTAAGTGTTGCTGAGCAATAGTTCTCCATGCTTTCTCAAAGTCTTTCAAAGTTTGTCTTTGGCCACCGTTTGTTTTTTGACTCATTTTCACTTGGCATGGTGGGCTGCGTGCCCTTGAAAATTTGACGAAACTGGGCAAGTAGAAGACAAACAACCCAAAAAAAGTAGAAGCAGGACCGAAAAAAGACTCCAGCGCATAAAAAATATCTGAAAGATGTGCTGCTGACAGTGCTGTCATACAACACACACCCTCTTGTGAATGCATGTGCACGGTTCTTGTATGAAGAGACGCGAATTTCAGAACTCTCACAGAGATGTGCCTGTTGTCATTCCTCAGTTGTAAACCAATGTTTTACTAATATGCAGTTGCGGTTTCAGTTCAAGCATTTTCTCGCCTCATAAAGTTTTCAAGATCTGTGAACGTAACTAGGCTGAATAAAACTGATATTTTCTTCTCAGTCATAGCTCTAATAAGACTGGGAAAATGTTTTTTTGCTGCTGTGGCACCAGCTGAGAACAAGCCTCTTTTTTGTCTTAGCAGAAGTGCAGTGACTAAATCTTACTTTGTGTAAAGTATCTGCCACATAAACCAGCTCAGACATTCACGTAGACTAAAGTAATGCCACAGCTGTAGCCATTTACCTGGACTACTGTTTCTGTTCCAGTGTTTAAGAAATTGATCAATCCATTACCTAAGTATGCCCTACAGTAAGTGGTGATATGTCCCCTTTTTAGCCTGTTGGTATTGGACTTTTTCCAGTTGACCTGACAGACCAACAGTTTGGCTGGGGGCGGGTTGTTAGCAGGTGGAGCAGTAAATCTGGCAGCTTCATAGCTGGATATATCCCATATATGTTACATAGGTAGTCTTTTACAAATGAGAGGCATACATCGCTTGTAGCTATTCCCTCCCCGCTTTGTTTGTGCGCTGGCACTGGTTCAAAGCCCAGGAGGGGAATTTGTAAAGCAGGGTCGAAGTTCTAGGACAGTTTGTGCCCCTCTGAATGCATACAGCAACTCTAATGTATAATGGAAATGGAAATTTGATTTAGTGTTACAAACCTGCATATTTACATGATCAAATAATTATCTACGGCATTATACATAATCAGGGTATCTTTTGGCATGAGTTTAAATTTATATTTAAGGTCAGCGTCCTGCCACATTATTATTATTATTTATTTTATGTATTTTTTGGTCATATATAAAGTGTAAATGTACAGTAAGCCACAAGCCTTTATGTCACTCACCAAACAAACATAGCTAAAAACACATAGCTCACAGTGGGAAACAGTTAAAAACAGTTTGCTGCTGGACAAAAAGGATGGTCAATGGAAAATCCATAAATTTGACCAGTAGAAAAGAGAACAATCATCTTCTTCTTTTCTTTTTTATTGATTCAAACAAGTTTAAGAGAAGGTCAAATTACCAAAACTACAAAGCACCCTGTTCGTTTCTGAAAATATCCATAAGCGATGAGATGGAATAAACACATTTTTCATGTGATTATATGCTTTTCTTTTAATCTTATTTCCACAGAACATATGGTCCCAGTCTCTTTTTGACAGTTTCACCCAACTGGCTATTCAACCTTGAACAAAGCATACACCACATAAAAGAGCTATGTGTGAGAGAGCAATGCACATCTGGGTGAACATGTGGAGAGGTCATCTGCATCTCACTCTATGTTCAGTGGTACTGTGGACATTACAAAACTTTACAGAACAATATGCAAAAATTATAAATAGATCAGTGACAGGAGTTGGACTCAATCCGTTAAGGAAAACACTTTTTTAATTCATAAGTGCATTTGTTTGAATATATATTCATACACTTATGTCTTGTAGCTTCATAAAATTCACAATCTTTAGTGGATGATTATTTTCTGTATGTTTGTTGTTTACTGACCGCTGATTGAATTTCCTATAGCTGTATCACCATTGAGGTTTTGATAAAAGACTAAATTCTATTCCAAATAAGCCCTTGGTACTGTTGAAAGAGATATAAAATTTATCTTTTTTAATTTTCAGACTTTCAGGCTGTACTTGTTATTCAATGATGAGCCTCGGCCTGAATTAAAAAAAGCTAAACATAGTGTACACAGCCATGAATCAGCAAGTAATGATTTTGTTTGATAGCTAATATCAGCAAGAAGGTTCTCGGCTCAAGTGTTGCCTGAGGCCTTTTTTTGGTTCTGCCTAGCATCCATGAGATTTTCTCCGTATAAACCAGCTGCTAATTGGTGACTCAAACAGTGACCCTTAAATGGATTGAGCTGGTGTAGATAATGCATGGATGTATAATTAATGGATACAAGTTCAAGCTGCTCAGTAGTTGGCTTTGAGCAGTACTGAACTCTGTTCTCTAGTATTTCAACAACCGCATACCTCTCAGACCACAATAAGCTTCCTTCTGATGATTTATTAATCGTCTCCTGATGATCCCCCCTCCCCGTCCGCTTTTTCATTTCCACCGATTCAAATCATTATCCATTACTATTTTTCACGTACATTTTCTCGTACATTTTATTTAGCAAATGACAAGACGCTGAGAAGTAAACAAATTTCTTTTTGTGTCTTAGCAATATCACGACTTGTCTTCTCAAAAGTTCTTCATCACAAAAATACACATTGGAGCATAAAGACATCAGGAAGATACATACATGTTACAAAGAACCACATAGCAACGATACAAATCTACAAATCTAGACAACGATCACCTGCTGAATCAATACACAACATCCATATGTAGATATATATGGATCCCATACCTGCCACATGTGTATGTCTGTATGTGTGCGTTTTCATGCCTCTTGAGATATGTTGCTTGAATTGTAGACACAGCAGCTTGTAAGGCTGGGAGGGACGGACGACAGTGGAGTCACATCGTAACAATACCAACAACATTGTCAACCACAGTCCCGATAAACCTCACCATCCATGTAAGTGGTCATCCAGGTTTTGACCGTGGAAGAAACGGCTGTTCCTGAGTGCTTCATGCCACACTGTCCAGAGATTACATTTAGAAACAAACAGAGGCCAGCTGTAACGCTGGTCTTGCGATAGTTATACAGCCACTCTTTTTAAATGTGACCGTTTTTAACCAGCGGGCTCCAAAACAAAGTGAGAGAACTGTTCACTTATGACTTACAGGCGCGGTCCAGTCAAAAGTAAACAGATACAGTACAACAGTCTGACGATTGTACTTACAGTTGCAACAGATGTTGCCGAGGGACCAATAGGATTCCTGTGTTTTACTGTGAGCAATGTATACACGTTAAAAAGTCATAACTGATGTTTTCTAAATGCTTAACATACTTTATCTGTACTTTGCACACAATTGAAAGATCACTGGTTGTCAAAAAGAGGAAAATGACATTCTAATGGCGTGGCAAACTCCACGAATAACATTTTTGAAAACCATGTACTTGTGTGCTGATACGAAAGGTGGAAACCATACCACGTAACTGAAAATAACATTTACAGCTGCTTAAAAAAAATAAATGGAACCGTTTCTTACTTCTCCAGTTCACGTCAGCAAAGTAACCATTATTCAGGCCAGTGGGTACAAATCCCAAGCCCTTATAAAAAGTTCTTTATTAGATTACTGATTATGGTCTCGCAGCAGATCACATCTGTTCAGACAGACGACGCCACGATGTGCACTGATTAAACAGCTCATCAAACAAATAAGACATCTACACAGTGGAATTAATTCCGTCATGCCGCCGAGCATGCTAATGTTTGTCCGAGGCATATCTGCACTTCAGCGTCCACGCTGACCAGCATGACAATGGCGGCAGCCTGCACTTAAGGAGGGCCCACCAAAGATGGATTCCGACTGCTCCTGTTTTCAGGCTCTTTCTTAGTTTGTGTGTATTATCAATTTCCGTCTCGCTCAGATGACAAAAGCTGGAGAGCCGGACTTCGGAGGCCCCCACGCCTTTTTTTTTTAGGCGAGCAGCCGGACATTTACACGTGGATTGTTCGTACAAAAAAAGAAATAAAGGCGCCTCCCCGATTAGATGACGGTAATGCGATAGCTGGGGTCGTTGGCCGCGCTGGAGCCGTCGGTCTTGACCACGGTGACCTTTGAGGAGTGCTGGGAGCTGTGCAGCGCGTTGCGGCGGCAGAGGCGCTCGCGGTAGTTCTGGGCGAAGATGAGCAGCATGAGCGGGTTGATGCAGCTGTGCGAGTAGCTGAGGCAGATGCTGATGTTGTACACGTAGACGAAGGCGATGGTCGGCGTGTTGTTGCTCAGGTTGACGATCTGAATGACGTGGTAGGGGGACCAGCAGATCAGGAACAAGGCGATGACCATCAGAACCATCTTGGTGGCCCTCTTGGCCCACACCGACTGCTTTCGTTTGACCCGACGGATGGAGCTGAAGACGTGGTAGAGGGTGAGGGAGTAGAAGGTGCTGATGATGATGAGGGGGATGATGAAGCCCAGGATGGACTGGTAGAGAGTGTACCAGTACATGTCTTCAGGTCCATCCAAGTACATCATGCAGACCTCTAAATGCTGCCTGTGAGCCACCTTGGCGTACATCATGACCGGAATGGTGAGGAGGAAGCTGCCTAGCCACACCAGCATGTTGATGATGATGGTCCACTGCACCGTCCTCTTCTCCGAGCTGGGGTGCACGATAGCTATATACCTGGGAGGGGGGAAAAAAGATAGTTTTACAGCATGACAGTAGCATGTAGCACTAATGGAAAAAAAGCATCTTTCTCCAAGAGAGTGTGAAAGAACATTGGTTTTGCCAAAGAGATCATTATAGTCCAGGACAAGCTAAGAGAATCAAATCGGGGCGGGAGGGTTGATAAAAGTAGATATGGTATTAGTTCCTCAGAAAAAGTGATGAATGAGAAATTATAAATGTTTAGACAGGGTGTCTGAGCACATTTGCATTTGCTTTCCATTCAGTTTCGGAGTGGGGAGCTGAAACAGATTCTGTCTGCCACTGTGTTCCCCCAGTGGCACCTGAGCAGAGTGAATTACATATTTCCTGTTGCCGTTCACACATTATTGAGTCTTTCTGTCTGGCCGGTCTGCGGAGATTTGTCATGCTGACAATCCTTTTTTATTTCTTTCGGAAGACTTTTTTTGAATGACCTTGTCTATATATGGCTTTAAAAAATCTCCAAGCTACCAGGGGCAGCTTTCCACATCCAAAGCTAGGTGAGCTCACTTTAGCTCAAATGATTGAATGAGAAAGTGCAAATTCAATCTCTGAAAAGCTGATGTGTGGCTTTACATCAGCCGAGTAAAACACTGTGATTAAAAAAAGAAAAATCTGCATGGAAATATATTGTTTAAGCCTTGTTACTATACAACCATTATTGTTTCTATAGTCTGAGAATGAGAAGGGAAAAATATCTTCTTGTGGCGTAATGAAAAGTAGCATGACACCATCTTCAGGACCCTTTTTATAGTTATTTACTCCGAGCAGTTCAGAGAGATGCAAAGCAATCCACTCCAGACAGACACACTGGATATGCACACATTTACTTGCTGATGTCTCTATACTCAAAATTGTTGGGAGTTGAAGACAGAATTGTGTTGATGTCCACAAAATGTCCATGAAATGACATTATACTGTAGCTACTCTGACTTAAAGTAGTCAATGAAAATAATACATTTTTTGTAATTCAATAGTGTCTTTGTTAGCAGGATCAGCAGAAAATGGAAAAATACTAAACCATCTGAATACCTACTGACAGATCAGATACACACATCTTTGAGCAGATATGCATTTTTAAAAGGAAGAATTGAATCATCTTTAAACAGGAAGTTCTCTTAAAAACAGTGACTTGATTCTGGGATCCTAAACTCAAACAAACAACTGCAAGGAAATGTAATTTTGACTTTATGGGACTCGTGGCCTTGATTGAAAAGTCTAATCACAATAGCTTAATCTAATTTGGTTAGTAAATGCCATTTTTAACTCAGCCATGTGAGAGGTCTTACAGTCTTTCACTCCCTAAAACACTTATTGTCTCCTTTCACTTTAACAGGACACATCCTCTACTTTTGTTTGTTGTTTGAAAGTGTTGCATTATTCTCTTTTGTACACAAGATTAGATGCTTTTTTGAAAGTGATTACCTTTTTGTCCTCCTTTGTTCCTTTTCAGGACCAAGAAAAGGGACATTAACTGATTCGATTTCAATGCTCTTACCTCCGTTGCAGAAATGTTGCTACCATAATAGAAACTGACCACCAGTGCATGTAATGAGGCCTTAAAAGCCCTCTTTTTTCTGAAAAGGTAACACAGCTCATTACAACACCAGTGGCCGCTCTAATGACCCTATAGAAATGTTCTACATGTGGTATATTGCAGCTTTGAGGGCAACTCTTGTCCCAGACGTTCTCCTCAAATGGACATGCTTATCAGTTCCAACTGTGGCAGGGTCTCGTTTAATAGTCCTTAATGTGTTCAGATCATAAAAACACATGTGGAGAACAGTCTGTCCTCAAGATGTTGCAGAGACGTTTACGCACACATGTGTGTTTATATACATATATATATATATATACCATATATGGATAAAGATATTACAGACTGGACTTTAAACTCTGCCCAACATCCAGTGAGGATTTATGTTGTCAAGATATAGTTTTACTATAGCCTATATTGCTTTATTAACCAGAGCAAATAAAAGTTTTTTTAAAAGTCAGTCAGTTTAAGTCATTGATCAGATCGTGTTGTCACTTTCTATAATTGTGGATTCTCTTTTTTTTTTCCTTTGATTTTGTAAAGTTTGTACCTTCTCTTTAAGCACATTTTAAAAAAATAAAACACTGGCAGTGAATAACTTACCGATCGATGCACAGAACCGTAACTATCCCGACCGTGGTGAACTGGTTGCTGACATCCACCACAACAACTGCCTTGCACATAAAGTTTCCGAACACCCACTGCCTGTCTCTGACCAGCTGGTGGATGTTGAAGGGCATCACCAGCAAGAACAGCATGTCGGCGATCGCCAGGTTCAGCACGTAGATGTCCGAGACCATTTTCTTCTTGCACGCCGCCACCGCGTAGATCACAAGTCCGTTGGCTATAACTCCAACGGAGCACAGGATTCCGTAAATCGAGGGGAAGATGTGCATGAACGTGGTGATGTCGATGGGGCTGTACGGCGGAGGGGTCGAGATCTGACACAGACCCTCGGTGAAGTTGTACGTTTGGTTGTCTCTGCAAAATATTTCCGTGTCATTCATCTTGGGATGCTGTTCAGAGTCCCGTGGGTCGGGTCGAGTTTAGGGCGATGCGCTCTCGACGCGCACTCCGGCCAGCGCCTGCTCCCCAAAACTTGGGCAGAAAACCTGCGCTTTCCCCAACAGCGCCTACCCACAAGTCCTCTGACACAGAGTAACTATATAGATATACATGAAAAGTTAAAATAGAAAAAAAAGAGACCTCAATCGATGCTGGCTACGCGGGCTGGGATGCGTCTGGCTCAGTAAACTAGTTACTGCGCGCATCTGCGGCGGCTCCAAACTCCCGGCACATCATGCTCACTCCCTTCAAACATCATTTGTTGGGTTGTGCAACAGGGCAGGCAATGAGAAGAAGGATCTCTGACCTGTCATCATGGCATAGCTTCAAATTAGAAAATTAACCAGCATCTGATGATCCATCCTGAATCATCTTTTAGTTTCAGTTGAGGATATGTTGAATTTTCTGGAGAAAAAAGAACAGGAAGACAAAGTTTTTTTTTATTTTTCTATTTGCTAAGTAACTGATAGAACAATTAGGACCAAACTCACTTCTTTGTTATTGCCTTAAATGACCGGCATCCTTCTCTGTTTTCTCAAAATTAGGTTTAGCACCAGCTTTGATCACTTGAACTTCCCCCTGTTCTGATATCAAAGGCTGGGCTTTAAAGGGCAGGAGCTAATCTCAGGGAGCTCAGAGGGGGAGCTCTGCGGGGATCTCCCCACAGGTCAGCGGGAGTGCACACATCTCCTCATACTGACCTGCAGGTACTGTTTGTTCAGACCCTGGGGCAGATCTCAGCTGCTCCAACTACTGTCAGGAGTGTTCTGTAAGAAGATTTTTTTCAAACCGCCCTCCATGCAATATTCTGTACACCATCTTTCCAAACAGCCCTGACTTAAACATTACATTTACCATCTCAAAGCCCCTTCCCTGGAAGTCACTTGCTCTACCTGCTTGCCACTAAGTTTTCCCAAGTGCAGTGAAATAACTAACTCGTTTCTTGTATTTAGTCACACAGAGTGGTAAACAGTCTCCAGAACTTTTTCAAACATGACCACAGAACTTTGTACAGAATCGCCTTCTGCAGTGGATAAATTGACTTTTTTTTACATGTTTCTCCAATTATTTCCATCACTTTTCTCAAATTTCTCAAAATGTATTATCATTTTTAGTTACAATCGTGTTCCCGCATTGATAGCTCTAAGCAGTTTTATTATCTAGATTCTCTTTGGTCCACTTGATGCTAATTACTCATCAAACACCTACATGACAGATGACAAAACCATAATCACTGGCTGATGTAACCATCTGGTTTTCCATCCTTAATAATTACTGTTTTGGGTTTTTATAACCAAAAGCAACAGCTGGCTGTTTGACTCCATTGAGCAATCAGAGTAAGGTGAAGGGAAGGCCCACTTTTTTATGTGACACAATTCAACACGTGAATCAAGGTGATTTTAGAATCTGAAGCACTCTCAATCAGCTGTCAGCTAAACAAGTAAGTACACGGTTATCAGTCGCCACATCTGTCGAGGACAAGCACAGACAATCTTCCTAAATTGGACTTCCTGATTGTTGGAAAATGTTAAGGCTGCAAGTTAAAGGTCTTACGGGCCTGTAATGTTTTCAAGGTGCAATAAAGGAGCTTGGCCGGTCAAATATATTGATACAACACTCCACCATGAAGGGACTGGTTGGGTTGTCACAGTAATGCAATGCTACATTCAACTGACAGGAGATTCCACCATCTCCAGAGCACATTTACACTGTACTGTCAGATTGTGATTTGTTAAAATTAGAGTTGGTTAAGTACTTATCTCAGATGATTTTCCAGGTAACTTCTGACAAATATAAAAATGTCTGTATATTATATGTGTGAAATGAGTCAAGGCACTTAAACTTAAATTATTTTACATTCCTGATTTTTCAACATTATTTCTGGTTACACCAAAAAGAAATTATTTGCTTTTTAGAATTGTTATCAACGAATTTCACAGCCACGTGGATCAGATCCATGGTAAGTTGGGCTCAGCTCTTTTGGTGTCATTCTAAAGTGCTGGGAGCTGAAGTGAGCACAAAAAGCTTGGGCTCTAACACTGCAAACTGAGCAGGGGTTGTTTCTTTTCTACAGCAGCTGCCTCTGTGGCCACCGGTGTGAGACGGGGTTCATAGGGTCTCACCTCCCATCTGCTCGGAGGCTGACACTGGAGGTCGTTGGTCACCGTGGTAACCTGCTGAGTGTGGTAATGTGAAGGAGCACACGACTGAACAAGAACAGTGCCCAGTAAAACTCCAAACATGGGTCTAACAAAAAATTAATATTGTTACGTGTCAGTTTGTTTTATCGTGTTTAAACTTATATGAATATAACATTTAGTTAGACCCAGAAATATATATATTATAAGATGGATTACTTAGGCCTTGATTTTTGTCTGCTGGACACCTCTAAAGTCACCCAAGAGCAACACTGATTTTTATCAAAAGGTAACATTAATAGCATTAATAACAATTATTTTACATGTTGTGGACAGAGGGACTGATGTACAGATTCACCAAATTTGTCATTTTGATGGAAGATGACCAGATGAAATCAATATGGGAAGGGGCACACATACAGTTATACATGTGGATGTCTTATGATGCTATGGGGCTGTGATGTGACATCCGGTATCAGAGGTTTAAAATCACTCCCATTATCATTTTGGTGCAAAAGACACATATGTTCTGATGTAACCATGTTATATGGTTCTAAACATTCCTGAGATTAGTCAGCTCTTAATCAGAGCAGACATCGATTTGAAGAATCATACTGGGGGGAGGGGGGGTGTTAGGTTGTGCCTTTTCGATAATCTGTCTTTAAAACCATATATAAACAACCTTTTTACAAAAATAAAGTTGTGAAGACAGCCCAGATATTCTCACCCTGTGTCTGAGTAATGCCTGTTAAGTATGAATCACCCCCCCTCTTCAGTCTTTTTCTACTTTACAGCTCCACAACAATCGAGGATTTCTTAAACTTATCTTATCATCTAGTCTTGACATCAGGAACCAATTCTTAGAAAACATAAAAATTCTTTCTCATTATTTAATAAATCGGAGCAACCATTAGTATTAGGAAGCATTATGACTATGCCCCCCAGGACAACTAAATTGGAAACCACCTACAGTACTGTATGTTAGTTCCACACATCATTGGCCTGAGGTGCATCATAAAAGTTGGAACAGTTCAGATGAAGGACACAGTGGTATAATGAGTTAAAGCAGAGATAACACAGTGCAGTGGCATCAGTAAAAGCTTATGGAAACAAGGAACTGTCTTTACAACTTATCAGGTCAATATTTATCGTTAATATTTATCTCCGGGGAGTTCATGTGCAGTGAAGTGTCTTTATGGTTACAGAGATGGAAAGGTTTTTCAAATCTCTAAATGTTCCCCAGTTACAGCTATGCTTTTTACTCAGCAGTTAGTTTGGATGGCCCCAGTATCAATGAACAATATGTGGGTGATAATTGTTAGTTTAGTGCTGTGGAAGTTGTAGTGTCATTGTAAATAGAAGTGCTGATTGTACTTAGAATTGTCAGGAAAAGTCAAGTTATAAAGGACAGACCTTATGAAAAAGGCTTTACTCAACATTTCCTGTCTCCTTATTTTTTTTCATCATAGACTGTGTCATAGGTTCTGGGTTTTGCAGTTTTTATATACCACCTTTTTTTCCCGTTAGAAATGTTGGTATTGCGATTGGTGTTTTTTCTCTATTTTTTTTCTTGGTTAATCATTGGTTTTTGTGTTCTTATTACGTTTCCTGTCCACTCCTGAGTCCTCACCACCTTCTCTCAGTTTCCTCGGTTCCCCTCCTGTTTGGATCAATCACATGACCTTTCTCACCTGTCCTCAGCTGCCTTCACTCGTTCATCGCTTTCTCCCGTACGGGAGCTCTCTGGTTAAGTCGCTGCTCCTCAGAGCCTGGTCCCTTACATGCCTGGCCTCAATAAGGCTGTTCCTTCATCTGTTTTGTTCCTATGTTATCTGCCATCTCTGGTCCCCGCCAATACTTCTTGCTCCTGGCTCCCTTTGTTTTTCGCTTTCCCCTCAGTCCCTTGAGGTTGTACACATTTTTTTTGTGGTTGAGTTTAGTTTTAGTATTCTGGCCCAGCTGTGCTTTTTCTTGTACTTTTTATGAATACATTTCAGTTTTCCTTAGTCCCTCGGCTCCCTTGTTCTGTGTCTGCATCGAGTCCTTTTCCACGCACGCCCCACTGTGACAGGCTGGAGCTCATTACAGTAAAGGAGATTATTAAAGCATATTTTACTGGAGGATCAAGGAGCCTGCACTGATTTAAAGTGTGATCATCTGTCTGTCCCTTGAGATATAACCTGCTTTCATTCAGTGCTGGTAAAGAGGCAAAGGTGGCTTTGCCCATGGGGTTTGGTGTTTAGTTTGCTGAGTATAAGAAATCGATGCAAAGCGACCGAAATAGCACACACGTCAAATGATTACATTTACTCAGACCTTCTGTACTGTACATTATTAGCATGACTCAATACGAATTAACAGAAGAAACATGTTTAGAGAAGACCGCAAGGATGTGGGGCGAAAATCTAATGAATAGAGTAACCTGTATTCCATCAGCAGTATGAAAACGGCACACAGATACCATTCAGTAAGCATGAGCAGACTGATTTGATTCCACCCCGACATTAAGCTTGAAATATCTAACAAAATTAGGGAAAAGACAGTTCTCAGTCTGATGTGAGAACATCACGCACTTCATGCCTATGAAAATGTCTTATACAGTAGACATAAAACTGAAGAAACTGGATTATTGCCAGTGAGAGGTAAAACATAACAAAATTCTTGCGCAACCTTTCTCGGAACATCTTTAACTCAATATGCTGGTATGTCCAACGTCTATAATTCAATTATAAAAATGTGCTGTGAAATTCCACTGAGAAGGAGCCATGGTTTCTGTCTGAAAAAGCAGAATCTGGAAATTTAAA